GTCGACACTTTGCTTGTAATTTCTGCAAGATAAAAGAGGTTTTTAAATGATCATAGAGTTAAAACTATCTGTTGAGTACTGTTCGATGCTTCCATTATGTGGTAAACGCGCAGTGAGAAGAGCCTGTTGAATATTGTAGCGTAGGTTCTTATTCACTTTAAACTTTAGGCCTGAACATATTTGAAGTTTGCCTCCCATGCTGTTTGTTAGTCACACTTCTTTTAGTAGACGATCAACTGAGAGCACAGATAACAACATTAAGGATTTTTGTTGTATCTTCTATAGTCAGTCAGAAAGATGTTGGTGATTGAAAGATACGACCCAGTCCTTCTAGTTATTTGTAGACAGTTTGCTTGTAATTTTTGCAATATGAAAGGTTTTCGAATGATTATAGAGTTAAAACTATCTGTTGAGTACTCTGTAGTGCATATTTGAAGTTTTCCTCCCATGCTGTTTGTTAATCACAGTAGTCGATCAACTGAGAGCACAGATAAGACACAACATTAAAAAAGGCAACATACCCCATATCTTATGCTATTTGAATGTATTTATGGATACATTTAAACATGTTACATGTTGCAGACTGACCGACAGACAGCGTTCTGCAGTTGCACAGAACTTGGTTTCCGATTTCTCACGTCATGGCTGCCATCGCTGTTTCTCAGTCTAAAGTGGTGGCAGCGCCATTACCCAACAAAACCGTGTTATCGCTGATATAAGTGATATATCAATGATATATAATCATTTTAAATGAATATATGATTTAATCTAATCTGCTAACGATATTTCCTTGTGTTTTCTCAGCGGCTCTTGCTGAGCCTCAGATCTGTTATATCCTGGATGGCATCCTGTTTCTGTACGGCATCATCCTGACAGCTCTCTACTGCAAAGTCAAGGTTTGCATATGATATAAATGTATATGTCTTTGTAGAAGCCTGCATCCACACTAATATACGGTTTTCATAAAAGTTGTATCCAAGAAAGTTGAAATGTATCTACAGTAGGCTATCATCAGCATAGTAAAGCACACAAACTCTTAATATGGTTATAAAAATATTCTCTTGACTGTGGTACTTCTACATGCTGACAGTGATGATTTTAGATTTAAACTATTTTTGCAGCACAAGTACTTGGTCATTATCTTACTGCACTGCACTTCCTTTATTTGTGACAAACGAAAGAAGATATATCTAAAGCGTGTGTAATGTTGCTAACTCTAAAGTGTCAACAGGAAATGCACGTATAGCTTACCATAGCTTTAGGGTTATACTAAAACGTTACTGTCGTTTTTCTTTAATGTTCCCTAACTTTGCCTTCTACAGATCTCCAATGCTAAAGAGGCCGCTGGGAAAGGAAAGCCGAAGGGGGTGAGAATGGATGCAGACACACAAGTGCATACCTTACTGACACAGGCACAAAGAAGCAACACACTGTCTAAACTGCAGACAGCAGCGACACATGCAACACACCACAGCACAAAAGTAGCGTTTAAGTAAACAACCAGAATGCAGAACTTCACCAGAGACAAAGATGAGCTCATTGGCCAGGTCAAACCTCAGTGGACAAACCCCGAGGTCTGAAAATGGAGCAAAAACTGAAGGATGAAGCTGCCACACCATAGCCGCATACAACCACATCTACTTAGTTTATGACATGTTTAATCCAAATCTCTATTAAGGACTTACTACTCAGCTTACTTTCGAGCTTGTGTAGACATCTGTCGCTCTGGGAAGGTTTAGAAAATGAACAGGTAGAGCCAAAGAATCTGGTTTTAGCTATGTGGACATTTAACATTTACATGAAGCCGAGACAGTTTTATAAATATCCGTAGTTCTAAATTTAATCCACAAGCAGCAGCTTCAGTGAGTTTTTTTCTTTCTGTCAAAAATCTGACTTGCACAGGATACAGAGATAGATAGTGTTCTTTTTCTCATGCAAAACTGGTGCGCTGTTTTACCCCCTCTTTAAGTCTATTAATTTCCTATTGCTAGCCACAAACTCTGCACCGCCTAAGCCACTCATGTGTTGCTTACTGGCTTCTATTTTTTTTTCTTCTCAGATCTCTAACTAGTTACTAAGAACCAAAAAAAACCCGTCATTACAATGTCCGATTTCTTTAATTTGTACTGTATCTGACATTTTTCTCTCCTCTTTCCTTGTCAGAATGTTGAAGAGGGCATATATACGGTGAGTTGTTGTGCTATCAACATGTCAAAGAGAAGAAAACCAGCAGATAGTTGAATGCTGGATTATTATTATAATTATATTTAATGAATTATGGACTGAAATTCTCCTCATCCTCCCCCTCAGGGTCTCACTCCTCATGCAACGGACACATATGAAACAATCGGCATGAAGAAGTGATGTGACGAATGACTTCTTTCTCTCTTTGTAATTAAATGTTGCACATCATACTCAGCTTAGATCTTCAAGAATGTATCAGATTTTGTACATCACGGGTTATTTCCCTTTTGCTTTTAGAGATTCTAGAGGAAGTTTGGAAGGAGTCACAAACAGGGAAGTTGAGGCCAGAAAGGGGAGATTGCGAGAAATGCTTTTTCCTT